AACTCTACTCATTCCTATTACGACGGAAAACGACGCATGCATGGTCCTAATATACGATCATAAATAATATAGTGCATTACTCGAAGACAAAGTGTGTGAAACGACTCAACATGTGTGATTAGGTGAGTTTATTAAGACTCGTGGTATGATCGCATGGCTAGACATGAGGACGTTGTGAAAAACAAAGGACCCAATTCAATGACCAAATAGCACGGAAGACTAAAAGACAAACTAACTTGATTATTTTTGTCCAATTTTAATGTTTATGCTATTTACTAGGTGAAAAGGGTCCATTGGCAATCATTAGTAAAAAATAAGAACAACCACAATCAAAGACAAAGAACACATGTGTCAGGTTAGCACAAAAATCGATCACAAGAAACTAGAAAGAGGACTAGAATTCTACAAGAGTTAAGACTTATGGGTATAAAAAAATAAATATAAAACCCTTTAAAAGTGAGAAGTTGAGGGAGCTTAAGGGTTTTGGCAAAGATCAAGGCTTTTTGGCAAAATTAGTGAAAGTGAATAGTAACTTCAAAAGGAATAGTGCATTGACTAAATTTTTCTTCTTTTTTATTGGTAATTTCGGTAATGCCATCAAGAATTCTTTACTTATGTTGATTTTTGTTGACTTTTGTTGACTTATTTCACTTTTATTCATAATAGTTACGGTTTATGTGACTGTGAAAGAATTAGCTTTGTGCTTGTTTTAAGGCATGTGTTTTTTGGGTGGGCTAGGTATTTTTATTTTTCTTTAAAAAAAAGAGAGAAAAAAAAGGCTATAAAAGAACTACATTTTCAAAATTTTTGATGCATGAAAAATATTAAGTTATTGAAGCATTTCCGATTCACAAATTTTTTTGGAGAATATTCAGGTAATTTTCAAGCATCCACTATTTTTTGAAGTTGATTAATGCAAGATTAATGGTTGTTTTTTTGTTAATTATGTTTTTTTTTTCGAATTAAGTATGTGGTCTTACTTGGACATGTTATTTGTTTGTTTAATTTTAAAATTTGGTATGGTTTTAATTCAATTCTTGATATCAATATACTAAGTTTGATTTTGCATGCAAGCATATTTATCTAATTATTATTAAGTTATTTTTTCGAATTAAGTTTGTGGGCTTACTTGACCAAGTTATATGTTTTTTTGGAATTGAAATTTTGACATGGTTTTAATTCAATGCAAAATTAATGGGTGTATTTTTTTTCCTAATTATGTTATTTTTATGAATTTAGTTTGTGGTGTTACTTGCACATGTTATTTGTTTTTTAAAATTTTGGAATTTTGTTATGGTTTTAATTTAATTCTTGACATACTAAATTTGATTTTGCATGCAAGCATATTTATGTAATTATGTTATTTTTTCGAATTTATTTTGTGGGCTTACTTGGACATGTGATTTGTTTGTTTGATTTTGAAATGAAATTTTGATTTGGTTTTAATTCAATGCAAAATTAAAGAGTGTATTATTTTCCAATTATGTTATTTTTTCGAATTTAGCTTGTGGTATTACTTGGACATGTTATTTGTTTTGTAAATTTTGAAATTTTGTAATGGTTTTAATTTAATTCTTGATATACTAAGTTTGATTTTGAGATTTTGTTATGGTTTTAATTCAATTCTTGATATACTAAGTTTGATTTTGCATGCAAGCATATTTATGAGTGAAACTTTTATATATTATGTCATTTGCTTATATTTAGTGTGTATGTAAAATTTACGTACGGGTGTAATTTTTACTAATCTAAATTTTTGTTGCATGCAAAATTTCAGGTGATTGAAGCATTTCTGATCATAATTTCTTTTGGAAAATTTTCAGGTAATTTTCAAGCATTCAATATTTTATGAAGTTGGTTGATGCAAAAATTATGACTGTAATTTTTTAAAAAATTGTGTTATTTTTTCGAATTTAGTTTTTGGGCTTACTTGGACATGTTATTTGTTTGTTTGATTTTAAACTTTTGTTATGGTTTTAATTCAATTCTTGATATACTAAGTTTGATTTTGCATGCAAGCATATTTTTGAGTGACATTTTTATATATTATGTTATTTTTTCGATTTTAGTTTGTTGGATTTTTTTTAAAATTATGTTATTTTTTCGATTTTGGTTTGTTGGTTTTCTTGGACATGTTATTTGTTTGTTTGATTTTGAAATTTAGATATGGTGTTATTTTTCGGAAATGTCATCTAGAGTTGTTTACTTTTGTTGACTTTAGTTGACTTCTTTCATTTTCATTCATATTATTGTGGTTTATGTGATTAATAAAATTGGTGATTAATAAAGTGGTGAAGTGGACATGTTTTTCATTGTGTAATACATTGTGAAAGAAATAGCTTTTAGCTTATTTTAAGGCATGTGTTTTTTGGGTGGGTTAGGTAATTTTTTTTAAAAAAAAAAAAGAAAAAGGCTATAAAAGAACTCCATTTTCTAATTTTTTGTTGCATGCAAGATTTTAAGTGATTGAAGCACTTCCAATTCACGATTTCTGTTGAAAAAAAATTTAGGTAAATTTCAAGCATTTAGTAATTTATGAAGTTGGTTAATGCAAAACTAATGTGTGTAATATCTTCTAAATATGATATTTTTTTCGAATTTAGTTTGTGGGATTACTTGTGCATGTTATTTGTTTGTTTGGTTTTGAAATTTTGATATGGTTTTATTTCATTTTTGGATATACTAAATTTGATCTTGCATGCAAGCATATTTATGGGTGAAATTTTTATATATTATGTTATTTGTTTGTGTTTAGTGTGTGTGCAAATTTTTCTGTAATTATATTGTCTTTTCGAATTTAGTTTGTGGGTTTACTTGGACATGTTCTTTGTTTGTTTAATTTTGAAAATTTGATATGGTTTTAATTTAGTTCTTGAGATACTAAGTTTGTTTTTACCTGCAAGCATATTTATGGGTGTATTTTTTGTTAGTTATGTTGTTTGTTTAATTTTAGTGTGTGAGTCTACTTGCATATATTGTTTGTTAAATTTTGATGTTTTTAGATTGTTTTAATTTATAGTTATTTTTACAATTTTAGTTTGCGGGTTAAATTAGACATGTTGTGGTTTTATTTTATCAATTTTAGATTTGTTATTGAGCTTTAATATTTTACATGCATGTGTGTGGTTGAGGTGTAATTTTTTTCGAGCTTTTAAAGTTGTCATGCGTATATGTGGTTGAAAGTTTTTGTTTTATTTTTTAAAAATTGTAGTGTGATAGTGTTTTAAGTATAAGATTCATGTTTTGAGGGTAGTACAAATGAGAGTGATACGAGTTTTAGATTCGTTATTCTGATTGGTTTATATTGATAAGGGCTTGACATGGTTTACAAGTTCTAAATTGTTGCTTGCAGTTTATGTGAAATTTGTGGATTGAATTAATGTTAGCATTATGTATAATAAATTTTGGGTTAACAATGCTTGTTGGTCAGTTGATAGCTGGTTTATATGGTTTGGGTGTCAAGTGATTGATCTTTGGTGTTTGTAGTTGCATTTTAACTAGGCTGAATTTAGTCTGAACTTGTTGATTGTACGTGAATTACAGGTTATGGATGCTTCGCTCACACAAGTAGTGATATCATTTCGTCCTTTGTTGAAGCAAATTACCAGATGCTTTGACTTCTCTGATCCAGAATACTAATATCTTCATCTCCGAAAAAGCATTGCTTGTGTGGCTATAAGGAGCGAGAATAGTGTTGTTCCTACTGTTTATCTTGGTGGAGATACGGATAATGTAGATGAATCGTGTGAAATTGCAGCTAAAAAGGCTGTGTATGATTTTATAAAAAGATATAACATAGTTGTTGAAGATGTAACTGCTTTACATAAACAAATGTATGAACGTTGTGGACGATTGTATGGTTACAAGAAAGAGGAATTGGAGGCAATTGACAAAGGAAAATCAAAGGTTTATTTTCATGGAGATATTTCTACTGAAATTGGTCATAATCAAAGGAAAGTTGTTATAGATTTCCTTGAGGTTTTGAGGTCTATTTTCAGATGTGTTGATGTAAAGTGCACTCCAATTGAAATTAATGAACAATTCCCAAATCAATATGCTTTTTGTTTACCATCATTCACCATAGGAATAGTTCAGGATTTAGGTGTTTGTTCAATGATTATTGTTTGAGTCAGGCTGCAGCTAAGCAAGACCTAGATAGAAAAGCTGTTGATAATCTCATTGATATGTGTAATCTTGAAATAGTGGATGCTAATTATAGGGCAACAACATGTAGGTTTGATACTTTGTTATGTGTACTGGAGAGGGAAAGTTATTTAAGTGCAAAGGAACGTGTGTTGGGCGTTAAAGAGCAGCTGGAACCTTCTTCAAGTCTTGTAGAGCAGGATTGCGTGGTTCTTGTTGGAGAGGATTTCCAAGCTTCAATTCCTAATCCACCTGTCATAGCTTTCAACAAGATTGAACTTAAGTCTCAAGTTGCAGAATCATTTGCTATTTCTGATTCTAGCATTGCAGAAATTCTAAAGGGAGCAGACTTAGAAGATTTACATGGACGTTTTAAGCGTGTCAGGCTTTTAAAGGATTAGATGTTTTAGGTTTAGCTTGGAGTCGAAGGAGTGTTAACTACTCACTGTTTGGTCTTTTGCTGGTGAATGCTTCAACTAGGATAGTTTTGTGTTAGAGCAAGAAATTGAAATTGTCTAGCTTTTGTATGTTGCACATGATAGTTTTTTGTGATGCTTGTGCATTAGACTCTCTAAAGTAAATATTTAGGTAGTAGTTTGTATTTAAAAACTTGGCTATGTGATGGTTGTAATAGATTATATATAATTAATGACATTGGAATTTTTGTGGTTTTTGCTCTAATCTTTTTGTTTTAAATTACTTGCTGTTTGTTATGTTGATTTATGCAGTTTTAAAGCTTATGGTATGTCTTGTTATGAAAATACAGGTTACTTAGATCACGAACTTTGTGTAGTAAAAAAATATATAAAACGCTTGCAAAGACAACGTATCGTGGAATTTGCAAAGAAAAACAGGACATGGGTGAGTTTTTTCATGTATATAACAAAATTTCAATTTAGGAAAGTTTCATTTATAGTGAAATGATATGAGGTTAATAGTTTACTAAATTAACCTTGATCACTAATTGTCTAGATCGATTATTACAAGCATCAACGACATCAGAGAAATACAAAAGTAAACGTCAAAGAGGGTTAGAAAGTGGATGTGATGAGGTAGAGGCTGGTAATGAGTCCAAGAAAAAATCAAGGAAAAAAAAATCAAGTGACAAGTAATTTTAGAACTCTTATTTGTAGTAAACATATTGTATATTCAATTGAATTGATGTGGAGATAATTGCTTATAAATTTGATGTTCATTATTAATAAGCACCTTCATCGACAAGAAGATACACCAATAGGCGCCTTATGGATTTGGAGAGAGGATGTAGTGATCGAATGCAAAGGTACTTAGAGGTTGAATACGTTGGTATTATAGAAAAGTTTATTAAATTTTGCTATGTTTTTGTTAATAATTTATGTTCTTAAACTAAAACTCAATTTGTGTTTTTGTAATTTTGTTTTAATGGTTACAAGAGCAATCTAATGAAAATTCTGCAAAAGCAAAAGGGAGCACAATTGAAGTGTCAAGTAATTAAAGTGTTATTCTTTGGGAATTTGTACATGTTTTTACATAAAAAAAATATATTAATGTAAAAAAAAAGTATTTTAAATTTCATTGATCACATTTTATACAGATGGTCTTGTTTCAAAAACTGGTGAAAAAGTTTTAGTTCAAGTTTTTGCATTACCTGCAGTTCAACTGACAGGTAATTTTAGTGGCTCACTGTTGATGTTGCAAAATTTATTTTATATTCAATTGAATTGATGTGGAGATAATTGCTTATAAATTTGATGTTCATTATTAATAAGCACCTTCATCGACAAGAAGATTCACCAAAGCCGCCTTATGGATTTGGATAGAGGATGTAGTGATCGAATGCAAAGGTACTTAGGGGTTGAATACTTTGGTGTTATAGAAAAGTTTATTAAATTTTGCTATGTTTTTGTTATTGAATTACGTTATTAAACTAAAACTCAATATGTGTTTTTGTATATTTTTTTTAAAGGTTACAGGAGCTATCTAACGAAAATACTGGAAAAGAAAGAGGGAGCATAATTGAAGTTTTAGGTAATTAAAGTGTCATTTTTTGGGAATTTCTACATGTTTTTACATAAAAAAATGTATTAATGTAAAAAAAAAGATATTTGAAATTTCATTGAATCACATTTTTTACGGATGGTCTTGATTCAAAAACTGGTAAAAGACTTTTAGTTCAGGTTTTTGCATTACCTGCAATTCAACCGACAGGTAATTTTAATGTCTCATTATTGATGTTGCAAATTTTATATACAACTGGTTTGGAGATTCTGGCTTTTGAAATTGATTTGATGTTTACTAATATAAACAACTTCCTCAGCAAAGGGTGACAAGAATAAACATCGTACAAATTTGGAGGGTGGATGTATTGTTGAAAAACAAAGGTTTTTAAAGACTTTATGGTATATTATTGATATTTTTTTTCATAGTTAGAATTTGACTGAATATGTGTTTTAAATACTGTCTTGAAGGTCAAAGGAACAATCTGATGCAAGTTTTCAGAATAAAGAAATCAGTGAAGTCCAAGCGATAAGTAATTTTTTTATTTTACTTTGTTGATATTGCAATTTTACACTAAATATTTGTATTTTAAAAACCTTGAAATGAACATTGTTCATATTTATCACAGGAGGATGTGTTTCTCTCATTGGAAAAAAATTCCTACTATGTCTTATCTACTTCCTGCACCTACTTACAGTCATAGGTGTATGGCTAAAAAATTTGCTTTTGAATCACTTCACTTATGTTGTGATGATGGAGAGATCAAGATTGCTGTTAATGAGTACCCTGCACTGCTTGTGTGGTTATTAACTTCTACAAATGAAGAAGCAAAACATTTTAGGAAGTATGTGCGATTGTATAATAATGTGTTCGCTTTCACTTCATTGGGCGGTGATCACAAAGCTGAAACAAAGAATGGAATCTATGTTTTTAAGTTACATGGACAAATCTATCACAATATTCCCAGTTTAGTTCCTGGAGAAAAAGGGCAACAATATATGCAATTGTACTTTTATGATGGACAACAGGAATTAGCTAATCGTGTAAAGTGTTTTTCTACATTAAGGGAAAATATTTTGTCTATGTTGATGGAGATTACAAATCTGAATCCGTATGCCAGGTTCTTTCGAAGTTTGAGGGAAGTTACAATTAGTGATTCAACACAGATTCTGTTGAATAAGACTACAGTTCCAGATCAGCGTGTTTATAATGCTCCAACTTCAGATGAGGTTGATGTTATTTGGGCAGAGAATACTTCTTCTAGTGATTCTGAAAGTCCACACATATTAGTCATTAGTGTAAATGATTCTCTTCATATGATCAAACACTATTATGGTTGCTATGATCCTTTACAGTATCCATTGCTATTTCCATATGGTGATTGTGGGTGGACTCAAGGTCTAAAGAAGATGTCTATGGGTGGAATACAGCAGTTACAGTCTCAGACAGATCCAGTTTCTTCTTGTAGTATACATACAACTGAAGAGTTGTTAGATGAAGAAGCTAGGCGTATGAGTTCATATCTTTTATTCTTATTAAAGTATTTGATTTTATATATGTCATATACATGCCTTTATTACTTATTTTTTTCCTTTTTTTTTCCAAATATCGATTTGTAGGTGCAAATGGAGGTTCATCCAAGGCAGATAAACATATTTCAGCTCGAGAATATTATGCATATAGACTTCAGTGTCGTTCGAGAAATTACTTGCTCAGAGCTGGAAGATGTTTTCAGCAATATATCGTTGAGATGTATGTCAAGGTAGAGAATACACGCTTAGATTTTTTTTCTGAAGAAACCAACTGACAATAAAAGCTGATCTTTATCAGGGACTTCTTGACACCATAGACTGTGCAGAAGAATGTGCAGCAAATGTTGGAAGACGAGTTATATTGCTTGCGACATTTATAGGTGGTCCTCGAGATTTGAAGAAGAGATATCTGAATACGATGTCATTAGTTCAGAGATTTGGCAAGCCTGATTTGTTCATAACTATGACATGCAATCCTAATTGGCCTGAAATTAAACAAGAACTTGCTATTGTAGAAGAAGCACAGAATAGGCCCAATATTGTCTCAAGAGTTTTTAGAGCAAAGGTACTTGCTTTAAAACACTAAATCAAGAAGAAAAAAAATATTTGGAGAGGTAGCTGTACTGATATATGTTATTGAATTCCAAAAAAGAGGTTTACATCATGCTCATTTTCTCAACATTCTGAAATCAGAATTCAAAATAAAGACTCTTGATGACTTTGATAAGTTTGTTTGTGCCGAAACTCCATCTTCTGAGAATGAATATTTAAGAGAAATTGTGATCAAGCATATGATGCATGGTCCATGTGGTCATCTTAATCCAGAATGCCCTTGTATGAAACATAAAGAACAACGTGGACGTTGTAAGTATGGTTATCCAAAGAAAAATTGTGAAGAAATAAAGAGTAATGGTGTTGGTTATCATATGTATCGAAGGAGAGCTACGTGTGATATTGTTAAAGTTCGGGGTGTTGAAATGGATAATTCATGGGTGATTCCATATAATCCATATCTTTTAGCATATTTCAATTGTCATCTAAATGTTGAAGTTTGTTCAACTATTGAAGTAGTGAAGTATCTGTATAAGTATGTTTATAAAGGACATGACAAGATATCTTTCAATATTGTGCAGACAAAAGATGGAGTTCCTGTGCATGATGAAATTAAACAGTATCAATCAGGCCGATGGGTTTCACCCTGCGAGGCTATGTGGCGCCTTTTTGGTTTTGATTTATATGAAATGTATCCTCCGGTTTTACCTCTTCCAATTCACTTGCCTAACTCTCAGCTGATACAAATGAGACCTCATGAAAATCTTACAGCAATTGTTTCAGATGATAAGCGTACTAGGACCTGTTTAACAGAGTTCTTTAAAATGAATTGTAAATTAGCTTTGGGAACAAGATGGCTATACAATGAATTTTCTGAGCATTATCGGTGGGATGCATAAGATAAGCTGTGGTATAAAAGAAAGAATAAGAAAATTCAGGTTGGAAGGTTAGTATTTGTTGGACCTTCTGAAGGTGAAAGATACTATTTACGATTACTGCTTCACAATGTCAGGAGTCCAAAGTCGTTTCAAGATCTACGAATAGTCAATGGTTATGTGTATGACACTTTTGAGCAGGTAGCACTGAAGTTGGGATTAATGGAAGATGACGATGCAGTTGAGTTGTGTTTAACTGAAGGATGTGCCATTCAGATGCCTCATGTTATTCGAAAATTGCTTGCTACATTTCTTATTTTTTGTCAGCCTAGCAATCCTTTGTCTTTGTGGTTGAAATATTATGATTCATTTTCAAAGGATTTCCGACATAAACATCCTACAGATGCTGGAAGGGTGAAACAGCTAACCATAAGATCAGTTGAGCAGTTTGTTGAGTCAATGGGAAGTACGTTAAAAGCATTTGGATTACATAATTTAGTATAAGTTGATGATGATTTAATACGTGTAACCAAAGACATAGAAGATGCAATGAATTCAGCGATACCACGAGAATGTCTAGAATGTAAAGATAAGTTAAATCAGGCTCAACGAGTTGCATTTGATGTCATTATGAATCATGTTATAAAGGGAACGCCTGACGCTTTTTTCATAGACGGTCCTGGTGGAACATGGAAAACTTTTTTTATATAATGCTCTATATGCAGAAATCAGATCAATGAATAATATTGTTTTACCAACAGCCACTTCAGGTATTGCTGCAGCCAATATTCCTTCAGGTAGAGCTGCACATTCACGATTTAAAATCCCTTTAGATCCTTTAGGATCTCTTGCTTGTAATGTTCCTAAGCAGGGAAGTCTAGCTAAACTTATAAGGGAAACAATGTTGATTATTTGGGATGAAGCTTCTATGGCTAAAAAGGAGAATATCGAATCCCTTGACTCACTACTCAGAGATATTTGTAGTTCAAGTGAATTATTTGGAGGCAAAATAGTAGTTTTTGGTGGGGATTTTAGACAAGTTCTTCTTGTTGTTCCACGCAAAACACAGCGAGAGGCAATTACTGCGAGTTTAGTCACTTCTGCTCTATGGCCACAGCTGCTGAAGTTCAGGCTTACTGAAAACTTAAGAGCTAAAGATGATCCTACGAAAGCCGCTTTTTTGTTGGCACTGGGAAATGGTGAATTGCAAAACACCGAAGATGCATTTGTTGAGCTGCCACCGGAAATTGTTAAATCATGTTATAATAGAGAAGCTGATAATATACATCTAACAGTTGTAGCATTTCCAGAAATGGATATGCTTCCATTCAGCTCAGATATTTTTACTACAAGAGCTATTCTGACACCGATGAATGAGGATGTTGATGTTATTAATTCAAGCTTAATTTGCGAATTCCCAGGTGAATTAGTAATATATAAAATCTATGATACAATGATTGATGAATATTTTGCCGTATATCTACTGAATTTCTAAACAAGCTTTGTCCTGGTGGTATGAGTCCTCATATGCTAGAGCTGAAAGTAAATAGTCCTGTTATTCTGTTAAGAAACATTCTGCCATCATCTGGTTTGTGTAATGGAACAAGACTAATATGTAAACAATTTTTTCGTAATCTCATCGAGTGTGTTATTGCTGTTGGATTTAATAAGGGTCAGCATGTGTTAATTCCGAGAATATCCTTACGCCCATCAGACTCAACAGGCTATCCTTTTCAATTTCAGAGGAAACAGTTTCTTTTGAAACTTAGCTTTGCAATGACGATCAATAAAGCTCAAGGACAGACACTTAGTCAAATTGTGGTTTTTCTACCACGATCGTGTTTTTCACATGGACATTTATATGTTCGCTCTCTAGAGCTCGAAAATCAGCTAATGTCAGTGTAATAACTAAAGCCAATACTAAGCAACAAGATGCAACAAAGGTGAAAAATATAATATCTTATGATATTCTTCGTTTGGCAGGAATCATTTAGCAGAATCAAAGGGTAAGTTATCATCATTTTTTCATACATAATAGTTAGGAGATCGTGTATATTTTTTTAAAAACCATTTGTGAGATTATTTTAATTTATATATAACTTCTAATTGTTTTCCCATATGTTTGCAATAATGTAACAGCTTGGAATTCAGCCTAAGTAGTTTATTTTTGGGTTATTTTTCAGCTAATCTCATGTACATATAGATTGAAAAAATCAAGAATAATGCCACATATTATAATGTAAGTGAAAATAGTGGAAAATTAGATATGTTAATTTTATTTTCATTATCAAGGAGAATAAAAGGGAAATTTTTTTAAAAAAAAAGGCAAGAAAAAGGAGGAGACAAGAACACTATTACATGCTGAGATAGCTATGCATGCTTGCAATTTTCTTTTAGATTGGAAAGGGGATGGAAGTTTCTGTAAGATTAATGCCACATATTATAATGTAAATGTAAATAGTTGAAAATTAGATATGTTAATCTTATTTTCATGATCAAGGGAAAAGGGAAAAAAAAAATTTTAAAAAAAAGAAAAAAGGAGGAAACAAGAACACTATTACATGCTGAGAGAGTTATACATGCATGCAATTTTCTTTTAGGTTAGAAAGGGGATGGAAGTTTCCCACATCAACTTGTGCATGCATTCTTTTTTCACTTAATTTTCCACTATATAAGCAATGTATAACATCATTTACATTCTCTAAAAAAAACCTCTATATTTAAACTTATGCTATACATATCAAAAAATATCAAATACAAAAACAATTGGTTAAGTTGTACCAGGTTCAACACACAACAATCAATTATTGGCTACTTCATAGGTATGATCAATTTAATTTTCATGTTTACACCAAAAAATCTGTTTTTTTACTTCATGAATTTAGATAGATTTGCATGTGTTGTTATTTTTCATTATATGAACTCTGAATTTTCTCTGTTATAAACATTCTGCATGCTAATAATTACTAATTAAATTTGCAAACCATCTGTTTTAAACATGCAGTATGAAACTTTTATTTTTAAATCATAACATGCTTCAAAAATTTTACAGATTTTGCATTATAAGTAATACATTCTGAATACCTACAAGTACATGCATAGTTTTCTTACCTTTATGCCTTATAAACAATAATTTAAGGAATGCAAACTGATTTATAAATCATAGACATCAGATATTGTACAATAAGAGCAATGATGAATTGATGATATTTTCATGTCTAACATTTTGTATGCACAACAATTGTTTATTTAATTTTGCAAAACATACACTTAAGACATACAATGTAATACTCATACATTTAAAATATACATAATACACAAAAAAAAAAAGTAAAAAACTACAGAATTATAAATGTATTTTGAACCTGTACATATTGCATGCATTATTATATTTGTTTTCTTCTTCTTGAACATCAAGTTAAGGCATATAGAATGATTTTAAAATCATCTACATTAGATATTTTGCAATTAAAATCAAAAGACTTATGATATTTATATTTCAAACATTTTTCATGCATAAAGATTGTTAATTTAAATTCAGATTTCATCCACTTAAGGCATGCAATATGAGACATGTTTGTAGTTTCTAAATATATTTACTTTGATCATGTTATTTCAAAATTGTTACACACAGAACGGTTTCATGGCGCCACATCGAAAATTCCTAGATGAAATTGATACTACTACAAAAAATTTTAAGGTCAAAGTAAGAGTTGTAGAAAAAGGTCGTCCACAGACATTAGAAAAAAAAACACGATATCAGTGTATATTTTTAAATGTTGACAAGGTATATCAATTTTATTGTACAAAAATTTTCAAACTCAATACTCATTTTGCACAAGTTAATGAAAACACTGAAAAAATGAACATTTTCCTGCTTTTTACAGAAGAACAGAATGAAGATGACACTTTTTGGTGACCAAATTCAAGCATACTGGGATGTTATTAGTTTCAGAGGAAATTATGAAATTGCTGTTGTTGTTGACGTGGGGTGAACTAGGTCGTTGGACTAATCCTCCCTAAGACAAACAAAAGTTATAAACACTTAACTAACCTAAATACAAGTATAGAGGTAAGTCAAGGGTCAAACCCAAAGGAACGGTAATGTCTAAGTGCTTCCAATTATGTGCCTAAGCTAGGTCGAAGTCTAAGGATAAAAAAGGACACTAACAACTACTAAGACAAAGAAACCAAACAAATAAAGTGCTAGGGACTAGGATTAACAAGTATCATGACAATTAGGAAATTTTGACAATTACCACCTTATGTTATGTCCATTTTAGCAATTACCTCCTTCTATTTTTTTTTTTGAAAATTACCACCTTCTATTTTCAAAAACATCAAAAGTTACCACCTTCTTGACTCCCAACTACCACATGATGTCATTATGGGCTCATTCTTTCCTTTTCCTCCCTATTTCCCTCACATTTCTCATTCCTAACTCGATTCTCATCCCCCCCTTTCACTTTTTCCCCCCAAACAATCAAAAACACTTCAATTCACTCCTCCAAATCAAAATTGACAAACAATTATTGGTGGTTTGGGGGGAAAAAAGTGAAAGGGGAGATGAGAATCCGCATAGGAATGAGAAATGTGAGGGAAATAGGGAGGGAAGGGAAAGAATGGGCCCAAAATGACGTCATGTGGTAGTTGGGGGGCAAGAAGGTGGTAACTTTTTATGTTTTTGAAAATAGAAGGTGGTAATTTTCAAAAAAATAAATAGAAGGTGGTAATTGCTAAAATGGACATAACAGAAGGTGGTAACTGTCAAAATTTCTTGACAATTATACCAACCCGGAAACATGCGCAAACCAACAGTTGTGAAGACCAACAATAAGCTCAACCAAAAGAGCATATCAAGCTATTTTCCTAGAGGTCTAACTAGCGTCAACTACGATAAACTCTAGCTAAGAACGTCACAAGACACCTCAATCGTGTAAATGCAAGCCACAAATCAATTGTCCGTATCAATGTGAACCTACAATTCAATCTAACATAATTCTCAAGGCCTAATCGAATTACACACATGCAAGTTTCCATTAATCACTTTAATCTCAACCATCAATCAACACAATTTCCTCAATTGAGCACAATCAATCAATCATACAAGCTTCACCCTATACCTCGCCAAACAACTACTCAAACATCATCATCTATCAACAAACCACTAAAGAAATAAGAATCAACAAATTATGAAGAACAATTACACTAATCAAAGATCAAATATCAATATCAAACCAAACAAACATGAATTAACTAAGCAAAGCAATAAAATGAGATTAAGTTAGAATTCCTCATTGATTGATTTGATGATCTTCAATACAATTGTCACCTTCAATCTTCAATCACTCAAATCACCATTGAAATTCGTCACTTTCTCTCTCTAAAATCTACTCCTAAAACTAAACCTAAAAACTAGAGAAAGAAGCTCTCAACTAAGCTAAGGAAATAAGATCTAATTGTAATTCTAATTCTACTTGTTTCCCTCTCTACCCAAAAATGGGTATTTATAAATACAAAGATTAAAAGAAAATACAATAGAAAAGAAAATAAAAGAAAAGGAAAAGAAAAAAAAAAGAAAAAAAATAAAATAAGAAAAGAAAATGGAAAAGAAAACTAAGAAATAAAAAAGAAATAAAACAATGAAAAATCCAAAGAAAAACGGCTCCTATGAGTCGGTTTTAGCTGCTCCAACAAAGGGAATTATCCCCTGCTTCTCACGCACCCTCAAATCATCATCAACAAGGTCCGATCAACAAAATTCATTAAGATCAACGGCCGAAAGTAAATCCCCTGCCATGCACCTCCCTCAAACCCACAAACGCGCGACCGCAAAGGAAGCAAGCGCGGCCGCGAAGGTTGCGAGCGTGGCCGCGTTGAGTGAGGTCTGAATTGAGTGCATTTGCGGTGGCTGCTACTTGGTGTTGCTGCCGGAAATCGCTGCTAATTATGGTGGTGAATGCGGGGAAGGAGATGAGCAGGGGCAGCAATTGCGGAGGAATAGGGAGCTGAATTGGGGGCGCAATTGTTGCGGGATAAGGGTGGTGCTGGTCGTTTGTTAGGGGGAAAAAGGGGGCTACTTTGTCGCTGTGTTTTGCGGAGGTATAAGGTGGCGTTGGTGGCTGATTTTTGCGGCTTGTGGCTGGAGATTGTTGCGGGACTAGTGACATTAGTTGCGGCTGAGCAGGGGGTTGCTTTATGAGATGTAAAGGCTGCCGGAAAACAGGGGAAAGTTGGTGCGAATGGTGGTGGTGTGAAATTGGTGGAAGATTGGTGTTGTGGGGAGGTGTTGTTGGAGTTGTTGCTGCTGTTGTTTGGTTGGAGTTGGGTAACAGGGGAAGCAAGGAAAGGAGCTTTGGATTGAGTAGTCGTTGGGCGCGAGCATCACCCTCGTAGCATGATCTTGATGAACACTAAAGTA